GGGCCCAGACCAATGAACTATATGATACATAACAAGCCTTTTGGCTTTAGACTAATATCATGCAGAGCTTCTCAGTCTCTTATGGGAGAAGATCAAGTGTAGTCACTGTACTCATCTGATATGCACACTGAAAATGCAATTAAAATGGCACTGTGTAGTGGAAAATGCACCCATGTTTGCTTGCAGACACGACTCCCTATGAGAGCCTCATATCTTCCTACTGGCCAGCTTCTAGTGGCAGGATCTTGGCTACATGCTAGCTTTATGGAAATGGGAGTCTCCTCTTTAGCTTGTTCCTGCAACCATAAGCTAAGGGCAAGCAAAACTCAGTGACATTCAGACCCCAAGTCTCTGGGCTTGGGCCTGCATGCAGGATGCTTGCTAAAGGATTTGGAAGTATATGAAGTCCCAGGCTGGGGTAGAGAATACTTGCTGGTAGTAGGGCCACATATAGGCCATACATTATTCAAACAGATTCGGATCTGGATTTGATCTGGCTAATTTGACCTGGAACACAAAAAAAATCCCCCCCCCCCCAAAGCTTGTACTACATATAAGTAGGTATAAAAATGCTATTTAAAACTGTTAATGAAATACCTGTGTTAAAATTTGCATCAGTTTACAAAGAGGTAAACTGCATCATTTCTGGATGAACAAAATCTATGGGTCTGTGTAGAAATTTCCCTATATGCGAGCTATTGCAGGTAGGCTTATTTCAAGGCCAATGTTTTTAAATTTATCCTTTACTTTCATGTGCTCATGGAGAGTAGAGTCTGACAGTAAGAAGGAGGGGAAGGGGCTGCAGGAAGAAGCAGTTGAGGGGGAAGCAGAGGGTAAGGGGGATATCTGACCCCCAAGACTTATTTTCCGTGTTGGGGCAATGTGGGGATTCAAGATAAACCTCTAATAATTCAATTCTATACTTGGAAAATTATAAGAGATTTATAAATTTTCAATATATAGAATCTAATTATTGAGGGTTGCCTTATATTCAAGTAAATACAGTATTTTTTTTTTAAATGAGCCCAATATTTTCATTACACTTAACAAATCAATAGGAAACTTTTCTATTCTATTTTGGCCTTTTTTAATTTATATTTTATATATTTATATATATTTAGAACTGTCCATTTCTTAGAATGTTTTAATATTTTTTGTTAGAAAGCAGTGAGATGAAAATTCTGGAGTATGACCAGCTTTTGATTACTATATAATCCTAAGGGTAAAAAAAACACTCCCACTAAGCAAGCTTCTTTACTCCCAGGTAAAAAGGCTGCTTTAAATCATGAGATATTTACAAGTAATGTTGGTTTCTGGTGTTTGAGTCTTGAGGTTTAATATTTCATGTATTTCTCTGTAGGCACAAGGGTCATGGCTGTGGTCTCCCAACCACAGGAGTGGGTAGAGTTCCCAGGGCTGGAAGTAGCTGCTACTGTGATCTCCCAGCCTTCTGGGTTTCACACACTCCCAAGACTGGGAGATTGCTGCAGCTGCATCTCCATCTCCTAGCCGCCTTGGTGCATTGGGCATCTTTGCAGCTGAGAGCCCCTCAACTGAGGGGACTCCCAGCCATGGGAGTTTGCTTTCTGCAGGGATTGGGGGAACCCAGTCTCAGGCTCTCCCTGTGCCAGCAATAAGTCATGATAGGATCTAATGTGCCATCTCAAAATTGTGCCTCCTGCTACATGCATATGGCATGGCAGGAGGCGTGATTGTGTTGGCCAGGCACTAGAGCTCATCAATTCCTTTACCTGCACATGTAGAGAGACCCTAAGATATTCAGGGAGATGATAGAACATACTGAACAAGATATTAGATTGAGAATCTAATATTATGCTCCCATCTCTGTCACTGACTTCTTAAGACATTTACTTTATATCTATGTGGTTCATTTCCATATCAATAAAATGAAGATAGTAACACTTACGTATTTTGTAACGCATCTTTAGGTGAAAAGTAAGAAACAGTTACAGTCACACGTCTTGCCATGCTACACATGCATGGCAGGAGGTGCGATTGTGTGATCATGCATTAGATCCCATCACACTTTATTGCTAGCACAAGGGTAGCCCAATCCCTGGCACCCGCTGCACCAGTAAGAAGATCCCAGCTGTTGCACTCTCCTAGCTTTGGCAGTGCATGAAACCTTCAGGGTTGGGAGATTGTGGCAACTGTTTCTCCCAGCCTTGGGGACTCCAGGCACCCCCAGGGCTGGGAGATTACAGCAGCATCCCAGCTAGGTGCCAATGGGCATGCTGCAGGGACCCAGTGTCCACAGCTGTGGGAATCTAACTTCCAGTAGCTGTGGGATGCTGCCAGGACCCATAGTTGGCAGCTGCTGGGGCTAAGAGTCACCTCAGTTGTGGGACTCCCAGCCCCAGCTGGGCATGGTGTATCTCTGTGGCTGGGAGTCCCACCAGCTGAGAGGTCTTAGCTGCAGGGCGGATCTTGCTACATGTGCAAATTAAATTACATGTGCAACCAGCTATAAAGTTAGTACACATTTTTGAGGTCTAATGTTATAGCTGGTTGGAACTTTTTAGGGCATGACAGGTATTTTGCACATGTAGCTGGTCTCAAGATAATCGTGCAATTAACCAGTTAATTACATGATACTTGTAATGTGTAGAGGGGGCCTTATTTGTCTAACAGTGTAAGGTTGTTATTAAGAAATGTAGCCATTACACTGCTTAATGAGCATGTATGTCACCTTTGAAACACTAAAAAGAAATCTATTTTTTAAAGCAAAAAACCCTTTTTCAAAACACAATACAGCATCTCTCTTGTAAAGTCTATAGAGCCATGAGAGAAGAACTGTATGCTCCTAGTTGTGAAATGAAATATTCTTATGATGTGATGCATCCTGAAATCTTAACACACAAAATACACCCTCCACTTTGACTTGAGTTATATCTAAGTAAAGTCTGAGAAATAAATGAACAAGGACTTCAGCATTGGGTCCCATACTGTTTTCCATTTCAAGTTTGGTGTTATAAAGTAATCATCTGAGGACTGTGACCTTTTATGCCAAGTTTCAGCCTGAAGCTGAGTTATTAACTGTTGTGGGGGAGGGTGGGGGGTAAGGTATTTATAATGGCTATTGTGGTATAACCTTCATTAGAACAGTCTGGATGGAGCTGCTATCATAAGATTCTAAGAAGTTGGTAGGCAAAATTACAATTTATGTCATATGGCACCTTGAGGCAAATTTTAAAACAATTATTTGTGAATGCTGCAAAGACATTATCCTACAGCATTCTCATCAATAATACAACCCCCAAACTGATTCAGAAGTGGAGAAACTGCCATGATTCCAATTAAAGACAATAAACTGCCTGATCTGTTATATCTCAGCCTTCCCATGAGCCTATACTCCAGAAATGCCTTTTTTTCAGTCTGTTGGCAGATATGTATTAAAATGTCCTCTTGATTATACAAACTGGATTTTTTTCCCCAAGCTTTTTCCTTTATGAAGGATAAATAAGCAAAATTCATATTCAGCCCAGCACCTGCTGAAGCTGTCAGCTGTAGTGTTTGTCATATTTCAATCAAAGCTGAAGCCAGCCAGCCATTTTTATACTACACAGTCCCTACATACTCGAGGACCAGAATTAATGAATTAGCTATTGATTAAATTCCACTCTAGCAAATCCACCGTGGCAAATAAATGAACTACCCAGGGCACGTGTAGGCCACGGCCAGACATGTCCGGGCAATCGATCAGTAGTTAGTATTCTTTTGGGATATAAGACCAGCTGATGATAATATGACATGTATGGAAAGGCAGGGTAGAAACAGTCTGTTTCTGGCTGAGCAGATTATAAAATAGGAAGGTATTTCTGATCTTTTTGCATTCATGTGTTATGACATATTTAGTCTATACAGAATAGCAGAAACATGCATAAGTGTTTTCAGTACAAATGATACAGACAAAGGCATACATAAGTTAAAGCCAAGGGCAAAAAATGAGATCCCGAATTGAGTTCTTATCATCAAACAAGCTTTTGACTGTATCTGTATGTGAGACAGAAAAATAGTAAGCTTAATTTCACCTTTATGCGAGACAAACACAAAATTCAAGGAAAATTTAGACATGATAAAAAGTAGACTAAAACTCCTTTTAAAGACTGGAGGAGCAAATCCATTGTGCTGGCCATTTCCAAAGGCTCAGGTGTTAGATTTTTGTTTTTTAAGAGAGATTTTGCGGCTTCTTCAAAGGAAACACAGCTAACAAGCCAAGCCCTGCCAGAAGTGTAATAAAATCACACCAACAATAACATACACGCAGGAGGCTAACTGTTTTATTGTTGGTGTAATTTTGATAAATGTCTTGGCAGCGTGTGCCTGTTAGTTATAGCTTCTCTTTTGGAAAATGTTAGCTCTCACCATGGATCTTTTAAAGAAAAGAATTACAGAATGTGTCACTACTTGGCTGCTTCTACAGTCTGCCAGCCTGGTACTATTTTTACTACCAAAAAGATTGCCCATGAGTGGGGGAGGAGAAGCAGCTTACAAGCAGTGTTTTCAGAAGGCACAAACATGTATTGCTCTTAAGGTAGTTTATTAATTCTTCCTGTCATAGTGCATGATTGTTTCTTTCACAGGTACCCTGACTTCCATTATTGTCATCAAGCAGGTCTTTCAGCATTAAACCTCACCCCTTACTGACAGTCAGCTTAATGATTTTCATCCTTGCATGGTCTTTCATTGAACTGGCTTGCATTTATACTGTTTCTTGTTAAGTTCTTTTAACAAAATGATTACTGATAGCCAGGTACATGCTACTAACCAAACCTGGGACCCCTTCTGGAGTCCAGCTTGCTGAAAATGCTAACAGTAAAAATGACCACTGCTGGCAAACAGATTGGGAAGACTGTATGACTATGTTCCAGTTTTTCTAATGAACCTTCTACGGAGCTGAAGAAAAATACCCTCTAGTTATATGTCCCATTCTGGCCACAAATTGTTGGAATTTGTGAAAATTAAATACAGGGCAGTACCTTGAGTTGAGGACTTGTGTTCTGGGTGCTGGTAGGTCATTTGGTTCATCTTCCACCGTTGTAATTTGTGTTCCATTGCTTCTCACACAGGCATACAATGTGCAGACTTCAACCTGATGCCAAAGAATGATACTTACAGAATTCAAGTAAGACTTTTGCTTTTTTAACTCTTCTTCTGTTATTAGTTTTTCCTCTAAATTACTAGATTTCATATAACCAAAAAAAGATCACAACTTTGGGCTAACAGTGTTCACCTTAGACATTGTGCCATACTGTTTTCTAGGCTTTGGCATTACATTTGTTCTCAGTGGGTGCATCTATACATTAACTAATGGGCCATGGTTATAGCGCATTAAGTTTAGTTCTTGGAAAACTAAGTACTAAATCAATGCACAGTAACTGGCACTACTGCACAACAGCACCAGCATACAGTTTTTTACAGATGCTTACTATGCAGTAGCGTAGTTAGCACAGGTTTTGCCCAACACGCTACTGTGCAGTGTTATTTTCAGCTAGTGCACAGTTAACATTTCATGTAGACGCACCCGGTTACACCAGTCAATAAAGTTAGTACAGTGGTATGGTTGTGTATACAAGCAGAATCTAGTGTATAACATTGAGAAGTATGGTCTAATTAATAATGAGATTGGGAGACAAAAAACTCCTAAATTCTAAATCTGACTCTGACTTGTATAGCCTTAAGCTAGTAATTCTACCAGTTTTTTCATTTTAAAGTGAAAAAAAATCTCACAGGTATTTTTAGTTCAGGCTGTTTAAAAGTACTTTGCACATGAAAAATATTATATCTATATTATAATATATTTTTCTAGTACAAAAATATAAAAAATATAGCTTATTGCTTCAATTGTTGGTAACAATCTAAGTAAAAACAAAGGAAGATGATAAGTGCAGAGAAGGTCATTTTTTCTTTGCAATGGCAACAGAGAGATCATTCAGTGCATGACAGCAGAAGCAAACAAAAGATCATACATAAAGATAATCAGTGAGACATACATGCATTCAGATAATGTTGTATCTAGGAGGATGAGAAAAAGAACCCAAAAAACCCAGCTTATCACTTCAATTTTGCCTAACACATTGCCACAAACATTGACCCAGTTCAAAGATTGGGAAAGCTGAAAAGAACAACTAATATTGTAAACAACAGAAGGAGGCCATGGTAAATTAATAGATCCATACATGTAGCAGTACTCTGAATTTGCATTGCTATTGAGAAAAGACAAATGTGTTCCCAAGTAGCATCCAGAAAGTCATATGTGTATTCATGGATGGAGAGTTGCAGTTATAGAGGGGTTGGAACACAGAAATCAGTTATGGTGTGCCTGCTTGTGACGTTTATTTATGGCATGTAGTAACCGGATGCAAATTTTAGAACAGAGTATACATGACTACTACTAAGACCTTTCCATATATAATGCAATCTGAAAGAAACAAGCTGGAATTGTTACAAATACAGCCAACAAACTACATTCTCTGGAGTATTTTTAATGCAATTCAACAAATGATAAATATTTAAGCTTTCCATTAAGAATATATTCATATATAGTTTTTAAATCAAAACCTGCATAGAGACACAAAGAAAGAAAAAACTGTAATAATCAACAATAGGAAAAGTAGTACTGTGATTTCATGGCTCTGCTTTGTCCACAGAAAGAGGAAGGGGGGGGGGGAGGAAGAGAAATGATAAAAGGATGACAAATGCAATATCATTATTTTTCTGTGCTGATACATTATGCATGCTTGATGTTTCTAAAACAATTGCAATTTTCTTTTAATGAGTAGGAGTAGAATCTTTGCCTCTTGTAATATATACTTTGGGCTTTGCTAATGCTATAATGTAGTCATTTGAAGAAAGCAAATGGAGTTGTGAAATGGTTTGAAAAGAAAACATCTAAAAACTGTATGTGGACCCAAAATATATGCTGAAAATAAATATGTGTTTAAAAAGAAGTATCTATATCAATATATGCAACAATTAATACTATTTGTATATGCATATATACGTGTGTGTATGTGTAAATACACACACACAGATATATAGATCTATATATAGATCTATATATCTATAGATATATAGATCTATATATCTGTGTGTGTGTGTGTGTGCGCACGCGCGTATGTATCCATGTTTCCCCCTGTGTTTCTATTCCTATAAATTCTTACCTGATGTACACATATTTTATTTAAATTCATATATTTTGTATGGACCTGGAAAACAAAATTGTTCTAACCTGTATATCATATATAGTGAATGGGGACAAGTCTCCTAAAAGGAAGGACCCAGGTTCATTCATTCCAGTCTTGTACTGCTTATTATTTACATAGATAGAATACTCTGTGACAACACCATTTGGGTTTGAAGGAGATGTCCAGATGACACGTACAGCTGTACTGTTGATGATGACAACCTCTGGAGGGAACATGCCCTCAGGCTCTAGAAATAAAGAAAGAAACTGAATAAACTCCAGCTGTCTCTGTAAAAGCACTTGTTTAACCAAATGCAGATTAGTATTTAGGTTTAGCAAAGGGTTCACTGCTTATCTGCTTTCCTCTGATGAAGTTATCACAGTCTGTAGTCCTCTGCAAATTGGCTTATTATACTCTCAGTTAGAAACCATGAGAGTTGGTGGTAAAATGCTTCATACCACCAGCATCGCGTTAATCTTCAGTGGTATGCGACCAGTGCGATATGATGATAAATTATTCACCCATCTGCACTGCCAAGACCTATTTATTTTTGTACCCTGCCCCCTCCAAAAAAAAGATAATTTTGCTTTTTAAGCAAAAACTAAGATTAAAATTCACTGTATCTAGTGGAACGTGACAAATCTTTTGATGTTACCAGCCTTTGTAGCTCAAGCAATATGAAGCAATATGCAATATTGTCATTATGTAAATGGTTTTGAATGTTGATTACCATAGGTAATGATGAAGTCTAATACTAAAAAAAAAGAAAAAAAAAAAAGAAAAGAAAATCTTCCTCAGTGTTAAATTACAGAATTATTTAAGCATGTCAGAAATAACCATGCAAAGACCTATTTTTATCATAAGAGCCCGTCTTAACCAGTTGAAAAATTGCCCTTGCGATCAATTCTATTTTATAAACAAAAGGTGCTGACCTTTGGCATCACAAAGGAAATGGAATCCTCACTTAAAGTGCTTTACTAATGACCCGGAACACTTGCTTCTGAGGTAATGATATTATAATGTTTATAATGAGACTTTATAAAGGCAAAAAGATTAGGAAGGCCATTCTAAACACATTTCAGATCCACAAGGCTTTTTTTTTCCTCCCCCCTGCTTGCTAACTGGCTTGGAAATGAGTCATAGGAAAATCTTCTCAGAGGGTGAACTTGCACCTTACATTTCTGGTGACTCAGGAAAGGACCTGTGTTTGACTGTCATATCAAAAGCACACCGCTTCACAGAGCAAATCTTTTAAAAAACCATTAATTGTTTTTACATTTCACCATTTATTGACAGAAACACAGTTCCAAACTTAGTTTACATACATAGTAGTACACAGAGGAAGACAAGAACAAACTGGGTTAATATCTGCTATTAGAGGGTTGTGCTTCTGTCTCAGTGGGACCGTTTATTGATCTACCACTTGATGACAACCAGCACTTAAGCATTTTAGCATTTTAGCCCTTTTCCTTTTATACCGGAAATTTTATAATGGAAGGATGACTGATCTCAACCCCAACAAAAATCAATCAATTTCATTCTCAGATTTTTAAGGCAAGCTGCATTCACTACTAACCAACCTCCATCTAAAGTAGTCACATGCACCCCTTCACTGTCAATGCTGTGGACTCCATTGAAAACTTGAAAAAAAATCTGATACTTTGTGTTGGGATGTAAATCACCAATGACAGTATAGTTTACATCGGCCTCAATCCTCAGAGATTTGTTTTCAGCAGTGGTGTTCCAGGAGAGAAGGTAATATTCAACATCTCCTTGCAAATCTTGCAATGCTGGGAAAGAAAAAATAATAATGAAAATATATTTGGAATTATAGAGGAGATAATCAGAAGACTTCTGTTATTAAAAGGAAAACTGTACTTTCCTATCAACAGGATTTTTTCCCCAAAGTAAATAAGGTTTACGTTATTAATCTTTATTCAAAACCACTACAATATTCTTCATTAATTGTCCAGCACCAAGAAAAACAAACATTTTTCCATGCTTGCCCAAAAGACTAATGAACTAATTTCAATACCCTGACTTATATTAGATGACATATTTCTCTGTGAGTAGCCCCGTTGAAATGGACAGGGTCAGTAACACAATAAAGTACCAATTAATTGGTATGTGTCCTGGTAAAAGATAGAAGAGCTAAAATATCAACATCATACTTGTGAATACTAGCAAGCCTGCTGGGAAAAGCAACAACATCATTAAATGTTAAATGGAAACACTTAATTTCAGATTTAATAATATATAAATTTGGTGCCAGAAGTTCATAGTGAATGGTGGATTCTGCTTCCATTTTCAATAAAGTCTGTGGAGTAGGAGCAGGACTTAATATCTATAACACCAGTCATTTACAGTATATTTTTCCTCTATCAAAAGATATAAGGGCAAGTTGCCCAGGGTACCAAAAATGCCCAAGAAGTGATTTTAAAAATAAATAGTGTAAAAGCAAGGAACACTTGAAGCAATAAAGAATCATTAATTTGCTTAATGTAACATAGAGAGCAATGAAATATGATGAGGAAATAAGATTTTCAAATAATGAATGACCCTCTCTTCATGTTTAACCTTTACATTCACAAACAGACATCTAGGAAATTTCTTAAGTATGAATGAAAATAAAACTAGATTGCATTACCTACATCTAGAAGGTCAGAGTTCAGATTACTAAGGTAATGAAACTTCAGTGAGCTGCTTCAGATCTATTAGGTTTGTCAGTTTTTATAAGCATGCTTACTTCAGGCATGCAATTATAAAACAAAGAACCTGTATTTGTTGAGATTCTCCAGCCAGTCCTTACAAAATCATTTGTGGGTAAGTCAAGAAAAATTTCCCCGCTGCTGCAATGGCAGACTTTGTTGAAGATTTAGTTAGTTTCTTTTTAAGGGGCAAAGTATGCAAGAGGAGAGAGAGAGCAGCATCCTCTCGTTCTGAAGGAATGTAAAAATCCTTAAAATGATGAACATATACTAGGATTTAATGTAGAAATGTCACAGGCTTGAATTAATTGCCTCTTCATTCCACTGAAATAGTGTATAGTAAATAGCAATATAGTCGGAAAAAAATAAAAATAGGCTGCATGCTCTTTCCAAGTTTTTTACTGCCCTTTAAGGGGCAGTTAGCCATATAATAAATCAAGACAAGTGTTGTGCTTCCTGTGAGGGCAATGCAGATCAACATAACTGATGACAGGTGAATATCTAATTACTGGAACACACACTAAGCATACTTACTTGGTTTTGACCATGCCACTTCAATGGCAGTATGATTAAGAGCGCGTGCAGTCAGGCTGCTTCCCTTCCCTGGAAAACCTGCTAGTGTAGTAGCAGTCACTTCCTCACTGGATGTATATCCCACCTCATTGTGTACTATGAGTTTATACTCATAGGTGGTGTACCTAAGGCATTTTTTAAATAGTTAACAGAAAACTATATAAAAATTCCAGACATAAAACATTTGCTGTTGTCATGCCAGCTATATCAAACAAAGCTTGTGGGGGGGTTTTTCCTCCAAAGTATAATTACACTATTTCAGCTCATGAAGAATCTGCTGGAAATATTTCAGCAACACTAACATGGTAACAAAAATAAAATAAATATGTTATTTCTTCTTGTTATAGTCTCTGAGATGCTGGGAGATTATAGCTCAATTCAAGATGTAATTACAACAGTGGCAAACTGCCAAAATTTGGATCTGAATTTAATCAAATGAGGCTTTTCCCGCTCTTTTGGGAAACTCATTTATTTTAACTTCCTTTTAGCTTGCTCTCCAAACACCAATTGCAGTCCTGCAACAGGAATCCTGTAACAAAGTGACTAAGACTGCAACCCCAGTTTATACAGTAATTTCCCTCAAAACTGTATTCCAACATATACTGGATACGCAAGGAGACTGGTTAGAATCCAAACATATATTTCATAGAGCAAATAACCATCACTCCATATTTCCTTCAACCATTCAAAAGGGACATCAATATATTTTTAGAAAAGACATTACACTTTCAAGCTATTTATACTATTAAAGAAGCAACTAAAAAGATACAATATAAGTCTATAATCAGTAAAAAAAATAGGGTCATCTAGTCCAAATTTTTATTTTATTGACATCACCATGGAAAACACTTATGTCAATTTGAGAGTGGACCATACCATGAATGCACAGTCTTTGGTGACTGTTGTGAAAAAATATGTGATATTTGGGCATTATTTTATGTTACTTTACTGTGACACACTGTATAACACAGATACTGGGCCAGGCCTTAAAAAGAGCTCACTTAAATAACTTTGCACACACAAATAATTGGCCAGAGCTGAGCTTTAAGAGCCCTCTTTAAGAAGAACAACAGTTGATAGGTGCCAAGCTCTAAAAATTCACTGAAGGACCTAAGCTCAGCTGTTCAGAAAGATGGTCAGAAACTTGTGGTGCTGAAGATTTCTGAATCTCTGGACTAGTATCTGAAAACACTGTATTCTAATTATTCTCTGTATTATTTCAGTCACTTGTATATACTTGTATACATTGTCACATTACATTTCTAGTAAAAACAAAGATGGAATCTAGATTACAAACAACAAAAACGAAAATGTTTTTAGATCTGAGGTTTTGGTTTATAAATAAAGCTGCTATCTGCAGAATTTGGATCAAGATCTAGGTTTAGATTTCAAATAGCCTCAAAAATCAGGGATATTTAGATCTGAGATTTAAGTATATCTAAGACTGAGAACAGTTGGACTTCTTTTGGGCCAAATTCAGCTGGTGAGTTATTCACACAAGTCTTATTAAATGGGAAACATGAATGTGTGTCTGAGAAGTAGAATTTATCCATACACTATCCTCAGTAATGCAGGCAGACACAAACACACACAGGGCAAAATACAAGCAGAAAGATACTCTGCTTTCATTGAAGTCACTGGAAGTTTTCCCAGGATTTCACTCAGGGTAACACCACCACTATAACCTCAGGCCCATCCAGTCTCTTTTCTTATGAATTTCAAAATGCTTTTCAAAGGATTTGAGGAACTGAGGAAGCATAGTTAAGTAACTTGCTCAAAATCACACAGTAAGTGAGCTGCCTAACAAGAATCAGATTTTAAATCTCATCTTTGCTGAGTAACTTAACATTGGATGGATGAGTGTGGCACAACCCCTAGTCACTGCATAAGTGGGGATGTTAAAATGGAGCTAGGGATGTGCTTCACCTTCCTATCTCCCATCCTCTTCTCTCCCTTGCACCCTGCACCAGCTCCAGCTCTGGTTCCTGTAGCACGACAGAGGGGTGGCAGCATCATGTGGCCAGTGCTTCACAGCTGCTAGAGATGTCACCACCTTTTTTTACAGCTGAAAGCTGGTGGGTTTTTGGCTGCACACACAAATCCACAGCAAAATAAGGAGACATCTTCCCCAGCAACAGCAAACCTCCAGCTGCTGCTCCTACACTGCCGTTGCTGCTCTGCTCTCCCTGCTGCCAGAGCCAGAGCCAGAGCAGGGAAGGTGTAAAGTGCAAGAGGGCACCGTGCTGGCCAGTTACACCTGTCTTTGCCAGTTTTCTGCTTCTGCCATGATGTCACTTGTATTTAACTGCAGACTACTGAGTAATTAATTCAGAGCTCCTAAAATTGCCATACATGACTTGACTGAATTTTGAAATATCAAGAGAAACATCTTGACAATGAAAAAAGACACATAAGGATTAAAATTAGCAATCTAACACCAAATTGTAATCTACACAATCTGGGATGACTCAGCCTGTAGCTGTGGCTGAAGTATCAACATAATGGGGAAGTATACACAGACAAATAAACGTTTGACTGTATGAACTAGTCAAAACTCAAAATCCACTAAAATACTCATTTTCATTTGTGTCTTTTTAACAAGATACTATGTGCAAGATTTAAGAATGACACAATAATAATAAAACCCTGCGTGTTCAAATGATTATTGCTAAAGATGAGGACAGAAAATATTTAATTACATAATTAATATGTTCACAACATAAAGACACAAGGAACACTTTGAACTATTGAACATGCACTATACAAAATGCCAGCATTTGTTTTTATAGTTTTTGTAATCTCACCTGCTAAGACCCTTATCTTCATAAAACCACTGAGTTCCTGAGTAAATATTGTGCCACAGATTTAAATCTTCAGGGGGATTTGATGCAAGTGGTTGCTGGATTTTACGTCTCAGGAGCTCATATCTAACACAAAAGACGAGCAGAACACCGGGATTATCTCAACTAATGTTATTACACAAATATCTCTTTTTTTTTTAAGCCATGCGTTATTTTGTTTTTACAGCTGTAAACTTTCTCTGAGTGATAAACCCTGAAACACTAAAAAAGAATATTTAAAACATTCAATTACTTAAACACATACTTTAAAAATGGATAATGGATAAGTACTTTTATTTGAAAGAAAGAATCAGTGTTTTTTTAATAATTTACAAATATTCAGCTTCTGGAAATCTGTGAAAAACTGCTCAGCACAGCCTGATAAAAGAACCTCATACAGACTTGACTAATATAATTTGACATACACAACTGTTTCAACATAGCACAATTTAATGTATCCATTTTACAAATATATTAAAATAACACAAAGCATCATTATTCCTGTTATACTGTCAGCAGTGTTTAGTTGTAAATAAATGAGTAACACACAGGTGTGACACAAATGTGACACACTAGTGAACTTATACATAGGCATGCCAACATCATATGTGCATTTAAGATGTTTGCTATAATTATATTTTCCTGAAAAGCCAGAATTAGTTTGCATTGCTTTCATTTGGAGGAAAAAGTTGTGTTCCTATCATAGTTTTTTCACATGTTGGAAACTGTAGGCCTGATAAGACCCATCTTCATCAAATCAGTCCTGAAACTGCCTGATTCAGACAGTGGGTTTTTCCCCCCCATTTTTATATCCCTTCTTGATTTCTTTTGTAGAAAAGTCCTATAGGATTTAATGGCAATAAAACCAACTGGTTTCTATATAAATTATAGATAATACTTTCTACATTCTCAAGCCATTCTATAGAATTTAATAGAGTTATATTGAAGTAATAAATTTCTATAGGTTGATTTAAAATCATCTAGTAGGATTACTATTCTCTATTAAATTCTATAGAACTGTTACAATACAGTTTTGTCTCACTATAGTTTGTTATAGAATTTTATTTTGTGAGCCACTATATATTTATAATTTTCTTACAGCTATGGCAGTGTTACGACTTTTCTTTCTTTCAGTACTTTTTGATGACTAGTTACACATTTTTATCCATCTACAATCAGTCTTCAATATTTTTATGCCCCAAATTAGGCTTCTAAATACATATTTATGCATCTAAATATAAAAATACCTTGATTTTCAGAAGTGCTAAGCACTAGGGGTGTGCGAAATGGGGCGTACTCGATTCAGATTCAACCTGAATTGGGGACAGTGATTCGATTCATTGATTTGGATCCCTTTCCCGATTCAATTCAGTCAAATCCAAATCTAAAGATTCAATGCTGATTTAGAGAATCAGCGATTCGGCCATAGACATATCTTTGAATGTTTTTTCTACATACCTCGAGGTAGCAGATGTGGCTAGTGAACATTGTGATGCTGGGGTGGATGGAGCATCCCACAGGATCATTGCCCCCCCCCATGTTCGGCGGTGAACCTGAAAGTGGACCAGGAGGACTTCCGGGCCACTTCCAGGTCCGTGGCGGTGCATGTGGGGGAACCCCTCCATACTCCCTCTGGCTCAGCAATCAGCCGCAGGGGGACCTTGGGTGTCCCTTCAGACCCAAGAGGCACCAGTTGCCAAGCCGGAGGGGGAGGGGCGTTGCTCCTGGTGGACCCGGAAGTGGACCAGAAGTGCTTCTGGTCCACTTCTGGGTCCACTGCCAAGGGCCCTGAAGAACCCCCATGCTCCTATGGGACACTCCATCCACCCCAGCATCTCAGCATTCATGAGTCACCTGGTACCTTGAGGTATGTAGAAAAAGCATTTAAAGCTGTGTCTATGTCTGAATCATCGAATCTTTCCGAATGTCTCTGAATCAATTTGGAGGTTTCTGATTCAATTCAGAGAGATTAAAGGGTCTCCTGATTCAGTTCAGATTTAGAGATTTGGCCACCAAATCAAGCTGAATCTCTGCCAAATTGAATCAGCAACTGAAGCTTTGCACAGCCCTACTGAACACACACATATCCCCCTTAAATTTAACTGAAAAACTCGTACACTGGGTTTTTTTTGCAAATCAGGCCATATTTATGAAGATGATGTAAGATCTACTTGACTGTATGAACAGATCAAAACTCAGTTTTGAAAATGCCTCCCTTTGTGCTGAAGGCTTTTTCCAGTCCTTTGTGTGTGCACGCTCAGAAGATTCAGACTTGAGAGCAATCCTAGAAAATGTGAGTGTAGCAATTCTTTGGGAAGCTTAACTGGTCTGGATTCATTTTGTTTGTAATATTTGATGCAGTGAGGAAATGGTGGAAGATGTGATTCCATGTATGGGCCTTTCGAATTGGTACGTAGGGTCTCAACTTTGGCACCAGATTGAACTATTTTGCATTTCCACAGAAGCACAAAGCAGGTAGGAAGCTGCCTTAAATGGGCAGCTGAGAATTCCTCTTGACATAAGGGAATCTATGGCACAGAGCTGGCATAGGTGACTTTCAGCCAACTTCCCCCTGTATTGTTGTCTTTTTGTACCAAACACAAATTTAACACAGCTGAGAATTGACTCTGTATCCTATAAACAATTTATTTTTTACTTTCTTTAATTTATTTCAAGTATTTTTGATAGTGTTGGTTATACAAGGCCTGATCCTTAGGCTGATCCTTAACTTGAATGCTTTACAGTAGCTGTAAAGCTGGTCCTATACAAGCTGGTCAAGTTGTATTAATATTCAGAATAGAGTCATTGTGGCAAACAGTAGGGACATTGAAGCCAATATCTTTTTTCGTATTTTCAGCCTAGAGCTCTCTAAATTCAAGCTGTTTACTTGGAACTCAGTCCACAAGAGGATTTATGGGTCATAATGCTGAGCACTGCAGTGCCAAGCTCTTTAGGTATTTGGTTGTCTGATGAAATTAGGAACCTTAGCTTCTCCACATCCAGTGAAGAGGAATGGAATTTGCAACAACCAGTGCACTGAGTTAAGATAGCCAATAGGAAATGAATAGGAAAAGGGGGCATCTTAAATTCTGCATTTCTCAGGTGACTAGAACTCAGGATTGCTGGGGGACGGGGGGCGGGGGCAGGGAGTGGTTGGCTCCACTTCAGGACTCTGAATCCCAGAGGTAGGTGTCTAAGCCCCTTATTTCAAAAGGAGCTAGTTCCTCTTTTTTATTGAATAGCTCAGTGATTAGAGCACTCACCCAAAATATATAAGATATTTCTTTCAACTCATAGCTCTCACTTCCTCAGAGAGTGCCATAACTACCAGACTACAGAGTATTCTTTGATGAGAGGACACTCTCATTCCTTCCTTTTTAAGCTATTTCACTTTCCATGAAGTAATTAAATATTTTTGGGCTACAGAGAGAGAGAAAGCATAGGGCCAAGCATAAGTCTTTGGTTTATGTGGGAACACCATCTTTGAATCCCATGCATCATCACACTGCATGTTGGTCTAATTTTTGTTGTTGTTGTTGTCAAAGGGTTTTTCTGTGTTTAGAGACAGAGATAGCTCCAGAGTTTGCAGTTTATGTGAAGATGTTTAAGATTCCTTCTAGGCTGAATGAAGATTAATACTAGGTATGAATCCGAAGATTCATTCTAGGTATGTCACACATTTCAAAGGCATCCATCACTATAGTATCTTGCAGATTAACCTGATCAATTAAGTAATAAAAATTAATTAAGTTATAATTTCAGGAAAATGTTCTGGTGACTTCACAGCCCAAGAACAATTCTCAAATCAGCGGTTTATCAAAGTCAACAGAACCCAAAGGCAGAATATTAAAACTTTATTAGGTACAGTCCTGGCATATTTTATCCAAGATAATTCATGGACAAGCCATAAGAAATATCAAAACCTTTTGGAATATTGGATGGTGATAGAGTGTAAATTACCCCCACTGGCAGCTGCTGCTATAGCTCTGCTTGCTACAGACTTCTTGCTCCATCATGCTGTACTGAGCAGCTGCTTCAGTAGTTGTTCTGGTTGGGGGCGGCATGGCACACCATGAAGGAAATGAAGTTTGCAGATGTAGGTCATATTGAATTATTTCAATCATCTCTGGTAAAATAGTCATGTTGTCAACTTTAGGGGTGCACAGATTGCTTTTCAAAGGTTTAAAATCTCATTAGACAATAGCTTTTATTCAGCCCTAGTGAGCCCTAATTAAGCACTGAGAAAGAACAGGCAGGATGCTGTGGTGTCACAGTACATGCCTGCAAATGTATGCAAGATACAAAATATTGCATATTTCCATGCATCAAAGAGAACCATCAACAAATATTTATTGATTGTGGGATTATAATTCCATGGAGGAGTTTTCCTGTTGTTTTAAGGTATGAAAGTGAAGGATGAGCAATTTGGCACTCCTATTTTATATACAGCAACACGTATTCAAGAACCAAATCCTGCACATACTACTATCCAGTGAGGACCAACCAAGGAGTACTCTTCCACAGCTTTAGGCTACTTTTTCTGGCTCACCTGCTTCCATTTTACCCCTGCCTTAAAGCTTGCATGACTGACTTGTTTTTCCATTTCACCCTCATCAGCAATCTATTAAATTTTACCAAGTAGCAGATATCAAACACAAAATAAAGGAAAGTTCAGTTCTGAAACACACTGCTTCTCATCAATATAAAATTGTCCCTTGAACTAACCTAAATAGGATAATAGGGGCTTCTTGAGTTTATCCTCAATGGGATTTCTCCTATTTCTTCCTCTGATGCTTGTGGGATTTGCTCCCTGAACTCACCAACAAAAAGTGGCAGGTCCTTTGGCCCACAATCTATATTTTTGTTGATAGCTCTCTATATCCCAACATACACTGAAAGCTCAGGGTCATATATGCTGTACCTGGTGCCTGAACTGGATTCTTCCCTTCTGCTGCCTAATTCTAACTGTTATGAAGGAATCCCTTGTTTACCACGTTCTATCATATGAATTTCCAGAGTTCAGAGAGAGACCCTGTACAAATTAAAACTGATTTTAGACAGCATTTACTTACCATATTTACTCAAGTCCAAGACATGTTTCCCCCCACCCCCATTCAGCCTGGGGAAAAAGAAACCTCGTCTTCCATTCCAGTATGGCTGGGGCAGGTGACCCCTGCAGCTCCGGCTCTGGCTTCAGTTTGAGGGAGATCATGCAGTGAGCAGCGCAGAGAAGCAAGGGACCAACTGTGGCTGTTACTACAGCTGCAGCTGTGACCCTGACCAGAGGCTAGAGATGGAGCTGCCACCACCACTGCTGCCTAGCCAGGGCCTGAGCAATAGGGCATTGCGAAATATCAGTGTTCCACTTCGACATCTGTTTCGATATTTCGACAGTACAGTGTTTCATTTTGAGTTTTAATTTTGAAAACACTGTTCTGTTCCATTTCATCAAAACGGTTTCACTGTTTCGATGCTGTTTTGATGTTTTGATGAGGCTGGGAAAGGGAACTCAGCCTGACTCAGTTACCCTCCCCAGCACTCCACCGGGCTTCAAGCCGCTGGGAACCCAGCCTGGTGCAGGCGGGTGCAGTGTGTGTCCGCCTGCACTCGCCTGGCTTCCCAGTAGTTTGAAGCCCAGCGCAGGCAGGCAGGGCATAGCCCAGGGGCTGCGCTGAACCTGCCTGCACCCAGCTGGGTTCCCACTGCTTGATGCCTTGAGGACTGAGCTCCTTGGGGCTGGTGGAGCCAATTGGAACTGAGCCCAGCATCGGAAGGGAGGCAGAGGCAGAGCTGCACTCTGATCAGCTCCTCCAGCCCCAGGGAGTGCAGCCCGGTGGCGGGAGATGAGGAGAGCCAGGGCTGCGCTCTCTGCCAGGCTCAGCCACATGGGGCTGCCCTGGCTCTCCCCTGCCTCCCACCACCTGGCTGGGCTGACGCTTCAAAACTCAAAACATTTCAAAATTTTCAAAACATTTTGTGTGGGCTCATTTCATTTTGAGGCTTTTTTGAAGCCCTTTGTTTCTTTTCAATTTTGCTGTTTCAAGATCGAAACAAGTCGAAACAGTGTCAAAACAAAACAGCTGGCAACATTTCACACAGACCTACTGAGCAACCATGTGCCCTGTGTGCTGGGACAGAGTCAGAGCTGGAGCCATGACATGGGATAAGTTGTGGGAGGGTGTGGGGGGGCAGGGAGAGGCAGCAAGCAGAGGGGGCAAATAGTAGGGGAGGACAGGTGGCAGGGGATCAGGCATGAGAGATGGCTAGTGGCATAGGGGTAGGCGAGGAGGCAAGGGTTAGTGAGCAGGATGCCTTGCCCTCCCCCACCACTGCTTTCCACACTGCTTGCCCCCCTGCTGCTGCTTTCACCACCATGGGGAGGAGGAGGAGTTTAAGATAGTCCTCCTATAATTAGATTCTATACATGGAAAATTATAAGCGTGTATTAATTTTTCCATGTAATAAATCTAATTGCTGGGGGGTCATCTCTAAATTTAAAGTCATCTTGGATTTGAGTAAATATGGTAAAATGGTTTGTCCTGTGAGTTCAGTGAATCTTATTGGCCTGCCAGGCAGACCCACTTGCCTATAATTTATTCATGAGGCCTGAACCCCAAAGAGGGTTTTTCACAGGACCAGTGGAAATGGGACAACATGACATAGAGTAGACCCTTCCCCTGCCATGCTTTTTTGGATAAATTGTTTTAGGAGGAAAGAGTCTTTGGTTTCAGCTGTAAAATAAGGTGAAATTAGAAGTTGAAATGATATTGAAGCCATGAATTATCAGATAAATAGAATTGCCCTTCTAGCACATGCAGAAATCCTGTAAGAATACAAATCTACGGTGTTACCAGTTCACAAAGTTGCATGCTTCTATACCTTACCTCAAGTGTGGTCCATTGGGCCTAGAGGGTGGTTGCCAAGACACAGCAATAAATGAATCACTTATTGGAATCACAGACAAAGGGCTAACACCTAGAGGAATTGTTGGATGTGTAGTCACAGGTGTAGGTAAGCTCTCTGTGCAGCCTCCCAGGAAACCATCACCTACAGAACAAGCTACTATAGTGACCGAGTAGTTTGTATAAGGGATCAGATTGGTCACCAAATAATTTAGCACTGATGAAGTGTCACTGATAATGGTAATTCGAGGGTCAGGCATGTGAATTTCATAGTTCAGTATTTCTCCATTCTGTATAAGAGGAGGTTCCCAAGACACCTGAGAAAAGACAATAATTTTTACTGTCAGAACCACTGGCAGGATTAAAATGCATGCCCCGGTGATAATAAGGCATTCTGTTTCAACTTCTGGAAAGAAAAAATAATCCAGAAGTTGTATCACAAGGATTTTTTTTAAGATAACAAAAAGGTGTATTATGAAAACAGCAGCAGTCATAAGAAATTAGTAATCATATGTTGAGATACAGGCAGAGATATGAAAATAAGTACACAAAAGGAAATATCAGAACAATCTGATTTTACCCTGCACCTTAAATCTAAGGATGCAGCTTCTACTCAACTCAACAGGTTAGAAAGCAACTGCTGTCTCTGACCTTTCTGTCAGAGCCTCCTACAAATTCTCCAGTTAAGTCTATTTCACTCAGCAGGTTGAGTGGCCACAAGCAATTCCCTATGCCCAGGAAAACTGAAGACAAACACATGCATCCATAGCCAGGATTAAGTATGGTTTCATATCTGGTCATTTACATACATTATCCATTGGATTCTTGGGGAGCCTATCATTTGCATACAATTTCCTGCTCCCCAGGAGTGTAAAATGGGTGACCTGTAGCGAGAATAACACATGGCTATTTAGACTATTCTTTAGTCATAATTGGGGAAACTGAGAGATAGCATCCTTAGGATACCTCTGAAAGGAGCACAAGGTTTGGGAGACAGATTCAATTTTCTGTAAGGCCACAGACTTCATAGGAGACCTCAGGCCAGTGGCATAACTGGGGTGGGGTGACTGGGTAGCTGCCCTGGATACTGAGTTTGTGGGGGAAGGGTGGGTTGGAAAAAAAATGGCTACCAGTGCTGCTGCACAATTTTGCCAGCAACAGCAGCAGCAACCAGAAGTTGCTGTTGCCACTGTGTGTGTGTGGCATATGCCTTGGGCTCCCAGCAGAGTCGTTACACTTCTGCCTTGGGCAAGTCCTTTAATAGATTATCAAAGATACAAACAGCAAAGGCACAACTCAAAGGCACCTCATACCAACTGATATAGAAAGTAAGTTAGAAGTCTAATTTACATCCAATTTTAATGGACATGAGGTGACAATGTACTATTTAGCCCTTGCAAACCTACTCCTTAGTCTCCCTATGTCTTGATTCATTTCCTCACCAGGAAAATAGCGATAATAGTACTTCCCAGCCTCTTAGAGTGGAGTAGGTAAGTACACTAAAGACTCTGAAGTCTTATAGTAATGGTAGTCCAGTAGTGGCGTGTTTATCATCTCAGATAAATGTTTGTCTTGCAACATGCTGGCCAAGGTGAATGTGTTCTACAGTCTACTAGTGACACAGGAAAAGGAACTCTTTTGCATTACACTATAGTATTGGCAAGAGTATTTAATTGTACCTACCAAGCCACACCAAGAAAAAGTTTATGAAAATGAGTGACAAGGAATTATATAATACATATTTTATTTTATTTTTCTGTAATAAATTACAATATAGGTGTCATGAAAATAAAACGTATAGTTTCTATTTTAAAAGTAGGGTTGCCAAATTATTTAAAAAATTGATCGCAATTACTTGAGTAATTAACATTAGTTGCAATTAATCACAATTTTAATCGCACAGCTAAAAACTTAAAATTATGTGCAGAAAAACTCAAACTTATGCAAAATTATTCACATACTTTGTATGGTTGGGGTGGGTGTGAGGTGTGTGTGTCGGGGGGAGGAATTTGTGAAGGTGTGAGGGGTTGTGGGTGTGTGTGGGGTTTGGAGCCCTGGGAGGGGGCGTTCCCACAGGGGGGCCTGGAGCCTGCGGGGGAGAGCACCTGCATACCCTGGCAGGATGTGGGGTTCTGTGGGTCAGGAGTGAGGAGTGTGGCTTGTGAGTGAGGGGTAGGGGTGTGGCACAGGCATATCACTGCCTCTCCCCACAATCATATTACTACCCCCCCGACAGGTGGTCCTCTTTTTTGAAACTGGAAGTATGGTAACCCTACAGGAATGCAGCCCAGCAGCATGTAGAGCAGTGCCCAGTAGGTAAGTCTGTGGAGGGGAAGGGATGAGGGAGGGGGCAGGGAGGTAGATCAAGGCCCCCACAGTGAGGGAGGGAGTGGGGTAGGGGCAGGGGATGGGGTGAATAGGACCCTGGAGCTGGGACAGATCATGGGATGGAGTGGCAGGGGACTTCCCCCCCGGGGGGGGGGGGGGGGGGCTCCCCTGTGTGCACCCCCAGAGAGGCATGGGGGGTATATGGCCCCCAGATTTGTTCATGGAGTGGAGCAGGCTGCCCACTGTGGGCTGGGGTTCTGCGCCTGTGCCTTTGCCCCAGGAGCCTGAGATAGAGCTTGCCCCAGCAGCAGGAAGCTCCCAGGGGCAGGCAGCTATCCCCTACCCCCTGGTGGATAGCTGACCGGGAGCAGATTTCACTCCCAGTCAGGCATCTACATGAGCTTTATGTCACCTTTACTAATGCCAAGTAAATTTGCAACTTGCATTTGCAAGTATCAAATTTACTCAGTACTAGGGAAGTTTACTGCGAAGTAAGCATGTGCATGTGAAGATGCATATGCTTTCTTCATAGTAAACTATGTTAATACAAAATTAAGTGTCTTGTGTAGATATGCCCAGTATGTATGGGGACACTATGAGGGACACCCTCTTAAAATAGGAAGTTGTCTTAAAATGGTCCATTTGTATCAATTTTTCTTCATTTTTAGTGTGTGTCAGAAGGTTGGGGAAAGGTATCACCACTTAACTTTGAATACCTGGCTTCTGTACAACTATTCAACTATTCAATAACACATGTACAGCACTATGTAACATTACACTGAAGGAGGGGAAGTTAAAATCTCCTGTAGTAAAGCATCATCTCCTCTGAAACATCAATATGTGAATGCCACACCAACCGTTTTCTATGAAGAAAAACTTGAACGAACTCAGTTATCATACTGATGTAGAGACAATGTGCTTGATGCTGTATAAAACAGGAGTGAGATACTAAGCTTATGAAGTTTATAGTAGGTATCTTGAGGGCTGAGGTGGTGTGGGCATTAAGGCACACAGTTAACAGCCCAGAGATTGCAAGTTTGAGGCCATAACAGAAGCACTCATTGTCAAATTCCACTAAAATACCTTGTCATGCAAGGACACAAGTAAGGAAGCATTATTCTCCTATAATGGAACTTTGGGAACTCTGGCAGCAAACAGAAGTCTTAATCTCCACCTAGAGCAGCTTTCCTGAGGAACAGATACAGAGCCCTAGCAAAAGAGACAGAGCATGTTTTGTTGGTGGAAAAGGCCAGGCCAGTCATCCCAGAGGTTGGGAAGATCAGGACCACTACCACCAAGAGGAAGCAATGGGCAGTGGCTCGCTTCTGCAGGGGATGGAGGCATCCATCTGCTATCTTCACCTATTGTCTTGGGAGCACTGCTGCTTGCCCAAAGCCCAGATCCAAAATGTCATGGAAGGATTACCAAGACTCACCCAGGCCTCTGACTACTACTCCAAGCTGCTCATCCATGTGGGTACCAATGATACTGCCGGGGGTGATTGTGCACAGATAAAAAGTGATTACAAAGCTCTGGGTACAAGGGTGAAGGGGACAGGGGCTCCAGAGTTGTTCTCCATACTCCTTTGGTCAAGAGAAAGGGCCCTAGCAGATCTTTCAAAACAATGCATGGCTGAGCAGATGGCGTTGCCAGAAGGGCTTTGGCTTTTTTGAGCACAGAATGTTGTTTGAAGAAGAAGGATTGCTAGGAAGAGATGGGATTCACCTGATGAAGACAGGGAAGGGCATCATCACAGACAGGCTCACTAACTTAGTGAGGAGGGCTTTAAACTAGGTTTGCCAGAGGATGGAGACCAAAGCCCTGAGGAAAATGGGGAAGTGGGTGACCTGGAAGAAGCACAAGAAGGAGGGGGCAACAGAGGAGACCTTCTCATTCTTCTAGAGAAAGCAGAGCAAGTTACCACAGGCGTCTCTCCGTGAATGCATGGAGCCTGGGAAACATGTAGGATTTGGAAGTCCTAGTACAGTCACAGAACTATGAAGTAATTGGAATAACATAAATCTGATGGGATAGCTTGCAAAAATGGAGTACTGTTGTAGATAGGTACAAACTATTCAGGAAGGACAGGCAGGGGAGAAGAGACGGTGTTGCGCTTTATTTAAAAGAGTTGGATGGAGATAACCCTGTGCAAAGTCTCTGAGTTACAGTCAGAGGGTAGAGTAAAAAGGATGACATCATGGTGGGTGTCTGCTATATACCACCAAGCCAGCAGGATGAGGCTTTCTTCAAACAGCTAGTGGAAGTTTCCCAATCACAGGCCCTGGTTCTCATGGGGGACTTCAATCACCCTGACATCTGCTGGGAGGGCAAGACAGCAGTGAACAGGCAATCCAGGAAAATTTTGGAGAGTGTTGGGGGCACCTTCCTGATGCAAGTGTTGCAGAGGCCAACTAGGGACTACACTTTTTTTGATCTGCTGCTCACAAACAGGGAAGAATTGGTGGGGAACATAGAAGTGGATGATAACTTGGGCAGCAGTGACCACGTGATATTTAAATGAGTTCAGGATCCTGGGAAAAGGAAGAAAGGAGAACAGTAGAGTAAGGACCCTGGACTTCAGAAAAGCGGACTTTGACTCACTCAGGGAACTGATGGTTAGGATCCCCTGGGAGGTCAGTCAGAGGGGTAAAGGAGTCCAGCATTGCTCACTATATTTTAAAAAAACCTTATTGAGGGTGCACAAATGAACCACCCTGATGTGCAGAAAGACTAGTAAGTATGGCAGAAAACTAGCTTGGCTTAGCAGGGAACTCTTCAGTGAGCTAAAACACAAAAAGGAGTGGAAGTAGTAGCATGGGTGACTGGTGCCTCCCAAGTTTGAGGGGCACCAGATTGCCAACATGGGGGGTTCCCCAGTGGCCGATCACCGGCCGGGGGGGGGAGTCCCCCAACAGCCAATTGCCAAGCCAGCGGTTTCACAGCTGGCACTTCCAGGGGGTGCACAGCCAATCTCAGGGAGAATCACTGT